GCCATGGATACACACAGAAGCTCGAACAATGGATGAGGATTCAGAAGAGTAATAGAATATATGAACTGGGTTCTTTGCCACCATTCTTGCTAGTTTTTGCTGGGAATGTTGAAGGGGTTGAGCATAGGTGGAACCAACATGGGCTTGGTGGTGATAATCTTGAAGGTTTGTGTAGAGATCTACCCCTGGTCCGGTAAGCTTGTTGCATTGGAGTGGGAAGGCAAGCCATGGCTGAGACTTGACTCCAAGAGACCGTGTCCGTTGGATAGTCTTTGGACACCGTACGATCTATTCCGGCATGCACCGTTGTTCTCCGACGATTGATGATGCGTAGGATCACAACAAAACTCATGACACGGGGATCCAGTTGTTCAGAATAATTGAGGAGACAAAAAAAATGATGAGGTGAAAAGACGCTAAAGGACAACATAACGCGGAATGGTGATGTGGGTAAAGGGTAGAATGTGGGTACATATTTGGATTTTCAGTCCGGTTTGTTATTCACAAAATTTGTGGGAATGTTACTGTCCATTAAAGTGGATTTTCGGTGGGCCGGCGGCGGCGGTGCATTGTAACATTGTGGTGGTTGGGTTTGTAAGATTCGATGCCAATCTTTGTCATGGTGTCGCTACTTTTTTTGTTATTTGTTGGTGAAAGCTGTCCAAGGTGTAGGCTTCCCTTTCATTTACTTTTTCAACTACTTTTGTTGTTGTTGATATTGTTTATTATTAATTCAATATATTCATGTTGTTTGATTTAATATTTGTAATTACTTTCTCTCCTTTGTTTAGTCTGATGTTCCTTGGATTCCAACTGGTCTGTTTCTCTGAATAGTGGCGTTCAAATTGTGCAGTTATTTTTTTCCTGGTCAAACATAATTACGGGGAATCGATGACGACAATAATATTTGAACCCGCGACTTTAACCAGTCGTTTCGTAAGGGGGACAAAAATATGTAACTATAGAAAGTGAGAGTTATACATTTTCAACCATTCAATAGAAAAATTTTTTCTTTCTCTCCTTTGTATTTGTTGATAAGAGATAAGAGGGGTGAAATAAAAATATTAGACATCTTGTAAGAAATATTCAATTGAACAGTGACAATGCATTAATAATGTGATGGGATATCACTTTCCAATAAGTCGAATGCATACTCTACCACAAACTCAAAAAACATCAGCTGTGTCTATTGTGCAAGTATGGTGTAACGACACTAGATTTGTGTTGTGTTGGTCTGTTTGATATAATTTTTTCATCTCTCTCTCTCTAACTTGTATGAATCAAATTGGAACAAATTTACGCTGTAATAGTAGTGGACTTCGGTTGAATTTATTTGATGCAATGTTCTAGACAAACATATATAAATTTATGTATTTAATTCGAAGGAAATAAAGTTTTAATTATCTACATAATGGATTAAAAAGTGACAAAGAAATGAAAATCAAAAGCTAAAAAGTATTCTTAATTTTAAAAACTTATAAGGTATTTTTGTCCATAGAAATTCAAACTACAGTCAAAACAAAGGTGATTCAAGTTCAATCTTCCCCTTTTTTGGATGGATTATCAACGGAAGACATTCTTTTTTCTGTTTCTCTCTTCTTCATTCTTCCATTTCTGTGTCAATCTTTCATGGTATCAGAGCTTGAATAGAGACCTACGTCTCAACAATGGCAGATCAGTCCTCAAGCTCAATCTGTTCGTCTAGTTCAATCGATTTCTCAAGCTCTAATTTATCTTTTATCGAATATCTGCAACTTGATTTCACTTGGGCTTAACTCTACAAATTTTGTGCAATGGAAATTCCAGATAAGTTATTTGCTTAGAGCATATTCACTGCTCCGATTTGTTGATGGATCTTTCGAGATTTCAGATAAATATACTGGAGCAATTGTTAGTGCTGAGATTAATCCTGAATACACTACTTGGATAGTACAAGATCAAGACCTTGATTAATGCAACTCTATCTTCAAATGCAATCTCTCCTATCATTGGTAATACTCCTTCTCATGAAGTTTGGAAAGCTCTCAAACATCACTCATTGGATCTAAATCAAATATTTTAAAACTTCAATTCGTACCAAATCTAATTCAATTTTTCTCCAAGAATTGCTAGTTATTCTCAAAAGTCTTCTCTTTGTCTTGCAGCTAGTTGTATAGTTTTGCTTTAGTTCCCTCCAATAACTTGTAATTTGTAAATATTGACATGAAATCTCCTTTTCTAACAATCACTTGGATGGAGAGGCATACCTGTTTAATATAAAAGAGTCATGCAAATTAATAGTAATTTTATCAGACCAAGTGCATTGAGATGTATTTTGCAAAGTTGACCACAAATTACATTGGGCCCAGGTTAAACATTAAATAATGTTGTAAGTCTTTAGCCAGACTTTTTCCCAACCCAAACCCAATTGTTGATGCAATTTATGCTTGGGCCCATTTTAAGGCCCCCAAAATTATAGAATCTGCAGAAACCAATTAGTCTTTGCATCAGTAAGTGGGTCATGCATATCATAAGAGGATAGTAGGTGACTAGTTATGCGAATACATTGCATTTTTTCTGACCCGAATTCGAATTAAATAAAAAAAATTAGTAATAAAAATAAAATAAAAATTTCAGAATGGACTTAACTACCAAATAAGATTATTAATATTAGGACCTAATGACACATGTTTAGTGTCGTAAATAGGACCAATACCCATTTATCACTTAATTTTATCATATATTGAAATATTTATATTTTTTATTCCAATTACAATAATAAATAGTGGATTTTAATTCACATTATTTATTAAAATAATAAAACGAATTTGTATCAAAAGAAGATACAGGGCCACGTTACCTCTTGTTTTGATCAGCCCATCACTATTCTCTCTGGCCTGGCCCAATAAGGGGAGACCAACGTGTCATTCGTGGCCAACATTAGCCACCAATCCAGTCGAGCCTTTCCCTCCACAAAAAATACCTAAAATAACCGTCATTATAAAACGGAAAAGAACAAAAATAAAAATAAAAATAAAAATCAAAGGGTGTACGTGTGTCTGAAATTGTGTGTGCGTCTCAGAGAGAGAGAGAATTTGCTGATAGCTTTTTCTTCCAATTGTAACTGGTAAGATTGTAGCTGTTGCTATGGCGACAGTTGCCACAGGTGGGGGACTAGGAGGAGTGAAGCTCCACACTCTTAACCACAAACCAGTATCTTCATTTCTGGGTAAGAAGCTCGAGCTCAAAACCTTACCAAAATCAATACCATATAGAAAAATTCCCAGTTCAAAGTCCAAATCACTTGTAGTTTCGGCTTCTGGAGTCGAATGGACCCATTTTGTTCATGATCTTTTTGTGGGTGTTGGGGTTGGACTTCCATGTACAGTTATGGAGTGTGGGGATATAATATACAGAAGCACACTGCCCAAATCAAATGGTCTCACAGTCACTGTTCCCGGAACGATTTTAGCTTTGGGTACTCTGTCTTACCTCTGGGCTACCCCTGGTGTGGCTCCTGGCTTCTTTGATATGTTTGTTCTTGCTTTTGTTGAGAGATTTTTCAGACCCACTTACAGGAAGGTATGTTAATTGCTCTAGTTTGTCATTTATTGTTTCTTTCATTGGTGGTAATGGGAATTTTGTGGTGCTTTGGATTTGAAGTTTTGTTGTGTGATGACAGAATGATTTTGTATTGGGGAAGAAGTTGGGGGAGGGAGCTTTTGGAGTGGTTTACAGAGCTTCCTTGGCTAAGAAGCCCTCTAAGGTAAGCTGTGTTTGACAAAATTCCTCTTTGAATTTTTTGTTTCTCAATGTTTTTGTTTTTGTTTTTATTTGGGGGTTTATTCTCATATGTTATGAATTAGCACTGGTGCCTGAAATGAAGATAAGATTGCATTCGGGACTTCAGTCATTTAAATGTTTGGACTATTTATCCATAGTTCAATAATCCAGTCAACTAGTGAGCTGTTTAAACTTGGGAAATTCCATGTTTGAGTAGGGATTAATAGGTATATATGATATGCACTTTATTTGTCTATTTGTGAAATGCGTGGTTAACATCCCTAGGAGTTGTTTTGGAATTTGATGACTGCATAGTAATATATGGTTTTTGGTGTTTGCTAAAAGGAAGGTGATTTAGTCTTGAAAAAGGCTACTGAATATGGTGCAGTGGAGATTTGGATGAATGAACGCGCGCGAAGGGCTTGTGCAAGTTGCTGTGCTGACTTTGTGTACGGCTTTCTTGAGGTGTTTCTCGATAATGTCTAGTACTGTTGTCATATGAATTAAGGGTATCTTTTTCGCCAGGAATGAAGATATTAGATTAGCTTCATGAACTAATAATATACACGAGTTAGTTACTGCTGTCTTATTAAAGTCAGTTCATGTAATGATATCAGAGTTCTTCAAAGAAAGCAGGCGAATATTGGCTCATATGGCGGTTTGAAGGGGAAGCAACACTGGCAGATTTGTTTCAGAGTAGAGAGTTTCCCTACAATGTTGGTACTTTCTCTCATTAGAGATTTTGGCAAAATTTCAGATATTATTCTAACATTTTGCAATACAGTTGTCTTAATTACAGTTTCTGTTTTGAAATCAAACTACCAATGCTTCCTTTGAAAAGTTGGAGACTTATGTGGTCAAGTTTGTTTTTATTAATGTGATGTAACTGTTTTATATGTTGATCAATTACGAAGCTGAGAGAGAGTCAAATGTATCCTCACCCAGTCACTGGCTGATTGCCTCATTTTTGTAGTCAATTCCTAGGAAATGTATGAGCTGGTTTTGCTTTAAAATCCAATCTCATGATGACTACATATTGTCAGGTTGAAGCAATTATTCTTGGAGAGGTCCAGGACTTGCCGAAGGGGTTGGAAAGGGAAAATAGAATCATTCAGACAATCATGAGACAACTCCTATTTGCATTGGATGGTCTTCATTCAACGGGGATTGTCCATAGAGATATTAAACCACAAAATGTTATTTTTTCTGAAGGTAATTGCAGCATGTTCATAATAAGTTGATAACATGTTAGCTGATATCTTCTGTTAACAGAGTGAATGATCTCTCTCCTGATTAAAACTGAAGCAGGTACTCGTATATTCAAGATCATTGATCTTGGAGCTGCAACAGATTTGCGAGTGGGCATCAATTACATTCCAAAAGAGTTTCTATTAGATCCAAGGTATCTATCTTTTTCCCCTGGAATTAGCCAACTTCTTACCTAAATCTGTTTCCCTGTATTTGCATCCTCAAGGTCATCATCTTTGAGCTGAATAAATAAACGAGTAGTGGGATTTTGAAGCCAACTGCCTTGAAGTTACAACAATAACGACATGGGATAA